AAAAAGAGTTCTTTCTATTTGTTGAATTGGGTGGTAAGTACTTTTTATTTTGTGTGATGAAATCGCAAGTACATTGAGATTGTTGTTTTGTTGTTATTGTTTATTTCACCATGTGTGATTGTTACATTTAGTCAAGATTATATATTTGTTTCATTATGTGTGTTGATATATGTGTTTGTTCGTGATCGAAATTGGTTATAGGACTATTTTGAACTGCATTAAACAATACAATTCAAACTAGTTAGGGTTGTCGACCCGACTATTTTGAAGCTACTCAATTAGTGACCGACTACGTTCTAATTAGTCGGGGTTGACAACCCCAACTAATCAAACATCGGTAATTTTTTTTTAATCGAATCAGTTTCTGGCTACGTAGCCGACGTGACCGAAAATTGGTGCGTTTTTTATAAGAATAATTTTTCAAAACAGACTCATTCGGATTTTTATTTTTCAAAATCGACCGTTTTTTCTTTTATTTATCAAAACCGACCGGATTTTGTGATTAGCAGGTTAATCACTATCCTAAATAGTCGGGGTTGCCAACCCCGACTATTTAGGAGGGTGGTAAACCCTAATTAAAGGCCTTAATTAGGGTTTAACACCCTCCTAAATAGTCGGGGTTGGCAACCCCGACTATTTAGGATAGTGATTAACCTGCTAATCACAAAACCGGGGCGATTTTGATAAATAAATAAAAAACGGTTGATTTTGAAAAAAAAAAAATTCGGTCGGTTTTGAAAATTTGTTCTTTAAACAACTACTATCTATGAGTGTGCTAAACCATTCTCTTTAAGTCCACCGGTTAATTTAGAAAGTTTCTAGGTTCCTTGGCTTTTCCATTTTACTTGTTAATTTGTTTGTCTTGTTTTAATCTGACCGCCATTTCCAACATTTTTGGCTTCATCTCCTCTTCTATCCGCAGCATCACCACCATCACATCCTCTTCCTCCTCTGAATCACCATCTTCATCCTCACTGTCCTCCTTCTCCCCTAACCCTAACCCTAACCCTAATCAAAACCGGCGGTCCTCTCCAACCTCACAAAAGCGTCGTCGACAATCAGCCCAAAACCCTAACCCCCCTAAACTCCGCCCGCCCTAACGAGCGAGAACAGAGCATCCTTATCCGCCGGTCGCCGCATGGCCGCTCCGTCTTCTCACGCGCATCCGGCGAGAACCGGCAAGACTATCCTCCTCAGCGTCATCATGCCGACCTCCTTTCCGCAGCTCCATCCTCCCTCCACACCGATCTTCAGTTACCACCGCTCCACCGCGTGGCCGCTGCATCCCTCGGCGGCCCAAAAACTCAACTCCTTCGCCGGCATCGGCCTCGGCAACGGATCCCTCGACTCCCTCCTCCTCAAGGTCTCCGCCAACGAATCCGCCGCTGCTCGATGGTCCTTGGCTAGGGCTCTCGTCATCGACGAGATCAGCATGATCGATGGTCAGCTCTTCGATCGCCTGGATCAGATTGCGAGGGCGATGCGTCCGCAGGATGCCGATTTGCCCTGGGGCGGCGTTCAGTTGATTGTGAGTGGAGATTTCTTCCAGCTCCCACCGGTTAATGCTCCCAACCCATCAAAGGAGTTTGCTTTCGAGGCTGAGTGCTGGACAAACTCGTTTCATTTGCAGGTCGAGCTCACTCGAATCTTTCGCCAGTCTGATTCGGCGCTCATTGACGTCCTCCAGGGGATCAGGAGAGGGCAAAAAGGTAATTGTTTGTGCCACATCTTGGAACATCACTGCTCTAAACCATTATCATCATATAACGATGATGCCGACGATGATGATAGAACTACCCGCCTCTTTCCGAGGAATGAGGATGTGAAAAAGCTGAACAATGAGAGGTTGAAAAATCTGGATGCGGTAATCTTTCACTACACGGCTGTCGACAGGGGGAAAGAGCCCTGGAAAGCTCAGCTGAAGCAAGGGATTGCACCCGAGGAGTTGGAGATATGCACGGGTGCACGTGTAATGCTAATCAAGAACACGGATGTCGGCATGGGCCTCGTGAATGGTGCTACTGGGACGGTTGAGGGATTTGTTTTTGATGATAGTTTGAAAGTTGGAAAGATTTGTAGAAATGGTGGGTTTTTGCCGAGGGTGAAGTTTGATAGTGGGGTCGAATTGGTTGTGAAGCCAGAGAGATGGGATTTGATGGAGGGGGAGAAAATTCGTGCTACACGGAAGCAGATCCCTCTTATTTTGGCTTGGGCTCTGAGTGTGCATAAATGTCAGGGGATGACCCTAGATAGATTGCACACTGATTTGTCAAGGGCATTTGGATGTGGGATGGTGTACGTGGCTCTTTCTCGAGTTCGAAGCCTTGCCGGACTCCGATTGTCGGGTTTTAACCCTTACAAGATAAGGGCACACCCAAAGGTCGTGCGTTTCTATGACTGGCTCCTCTTGTCTCATCGACCTTGACTCATCATTGTTGAAGGTGAGTTTGTCTGTGAAGTTGCAAAGGTTCTTTGCTTGGGATATTGAATGAATCACTAACACTTCACCCCTCACCCAAAGATGAATGTGCATAGGCATGTTAGAATGTAAAACTATTACCCTTAACCGCTTACCCCAACTTTGGAGTCTTGGTGTAGTGGCAGGGGCTTTAAGATTCCATTGTGCTAGGAGGTCATTTATATTATGTTTCCTGTTAACAACAAGCCATTGTGCTAGGAGGTCATTTATATTATGTTTCCTGTTAACAACAAGCCAGGTACTCAGAGCTATTAACAAATTGTGACATCACAGTTCTATGGTATTTCTTTTATACGAGCTATTGGTTTAAGTAAGGGCAATGTTACAAAAAGCACTAGGCAGCCTAGGCGTTGGACCCGACGCCTAGAGCCTAGGCCCCTAGGTGGGGCCTAGGTGTTTTCCTATTTTTTTAAATTTTTTATTATAGTTACTAATAAGAAATGCCAATATAATAGAAAGTTTAGGTGCTGGACTGACGCTAGGTAGATTTCTTAAGTGGTGGTGGAGAATTGTTCAACGTCGGGGGAGGTGGAGGAGGTGTTTATAGTTGGAGTTTGGAGGAGGTTGGAGAACGTGTAGGCTGTAATGGACGAACTCATGATCAATGCTAAAATGGTGCAGTCCACATAGGCAGACCACGCCCACCTAAATGCTCCCAAAATATAGGTGGGCAGCCTAGGTATCGCCTTGACGTTAGGCGCTAGATAGACGGCAAAGGTACCGCCTAGGCGGAATAAGCGAAGGCTTTTTAAAACCTTAATGTAAGGAAACATTTGTATCCCTGCTTGCAAGTGAGATAAGTGTGTCATGGGAATCAATCTCATGAGAGACTATAAATGTCTCCTGGTCTGCTACATTTTCATCAAACAGGTGACCGAAAAGAAAAAAAAGGTCACTTCTTGAAGATGTTGAACTTAAAATGTAATAATTGTATATGGCGTAGATAAATGCATCATAAAGGCTAGATAATAGTCCACATTGTTCTTCCTTGTATGCGGTGTGGGTTTTCTACTTATATGGCCTCAAACTCTCACATTCTTCTGATATGAGTCTCTGCAGTCAAAAGTTTTTGGCATAAACTATTTTAGGGAGCAAGATTTAAAGCCATTGGAAGAAGAGGTCACTGTGAGCAAACCAGGAATATGAAGAGCTCAGTATGATTTTAATTGGAAAGGGAGTAATTCTAATTCAATATCCGAAAGATGCTAATCCATCTCCTTCATGTTGAGTCTTCTCTTCTTTGGATCTTATTCTTTTATATCAATCTGAATCTGAACCTGCCACTGAGCACTGAACAGCCCTGGTTCAGTGGTATTTTCCTAGAGTGAAGACCAGTGCATGTTCATTTGCCCAAATCTGATTATGCGTTCCTATATTCTGTCTAAATAATCTGTCTAGCGATGTCTTCATGGTGCTGCAGTTACAACACGCTGACAATGCAAACTTTCTAGCAAGATGGAGCAACCTTCTTTGTATTATGAACTTAGAAAAGCTTATTTCAACTTGGCTGCAGCTGACTAATCCAGTGATGATGCATTTCATTTTACCTGGATTTTGTCTTTACTTTTTAGTTTTGCTACCTTTTCTTTTCCCTTTCTCTTTGCTTATGTGTTTTTTCATGCTTTTGACTCGTGACTTATCAGTTGATTATAGCATAACAAGAGCTGCTCTTGTAATGGACGTGGTTACTTGCCAGCAAGTCATTGATTTGTCTTTTCTTTCAATGCTTGTTAAAGGCGGGCTTTGAAATGGAAGGTAATGAGAGAAATAATATGAGAAGCTTCACATAATCACTTCAAAACTGTTGGAGATGGATGAGAAAGAATCCAAGGGGTATATCATAAATGGGGACCTAAACAAGACCTATACTGAGTTAAATATGATGGGCCTGGTGCCTTCTTTTTTCGTGTCTCATATTTTTTGCATTGCTACCAGCTTCAATATGACACTGGAATTCCAACTTACATCAATAGTTTGTGATGCAGTTGGTACCGAATGTTTCACCATGTCTGGTGAACTATGGCATCAGATACATTGCTTGTTCTTCAGTCTCATAATCAGGTTCTGAAGAGGGACGACAGTATAATCAGGTTCTGAAGAGGGACGACAGTTGTGTTATGCATAACAGATGATTCCACCTAACTCCTGTCTCTTTGCTTTTACTGTATCCTCTATATATGAGATTTGGCCAAACTCTGATATACTACTCTGTTTTCTCCTAGTGTTTCTTAAGCGGTCGAAGGATGTCCTTTGTGATTGGAGGATATGTGTATAGCATCCTTTTCAATTTCAACTATTGTCACTACTAGGCCGAATCTAATAAGTACTGTTAGACCCTAAGGTCGCTATGAAAGAACCCTAGAGGGGGAGTGAATAGGGTTTATGCTAATCTAATCCGATTTAAATGTCAATTAAAACTTACTAACAAATATATCATAGCAAGTATGATATGCTACAAGATATGTGCAAAGATATATAATATAAACAAGGGTAAACAAAATTAACATGTAACAATAGCGATATAACGATATGTAAGAATAAATGCGTCAATGCCAAACTCAAACATAAGGAAATGATCATAAAGTTCGGACCTTCCGTCCAATGTCTCCGTTCCCCACTCCCGGGGAGAATCCACTACACAACCCGGTTTGAAAGCCGGAACTTTTCTACACACTCGGTTTTCTAGCTAACCGAAAACTCTACACACTCGGTTATCAAGTCAACCTACAACTCTCACAAATCCTCACAAAGTATATGCACAAGCTACAACCTCAAATGTTGGTCCTCACGTATCGACTCCCTCAAGTGCTCGGAATTATCACCTCTCATTAGGCCACTGACGCCACTCTTCTCGGTATCGACTCTGTCCTCACCACACACTCCTCTCGGTGTACAAGTGTATTACAAAGTGAACTTCACAAATTAAGCACAACAAATGATTGTTCTCTAAAAAAAGGTGAACTCAATTAGGCACAACTCTAAGTCACAAACCTCACAACCCAAATTATACTATGAATGTAAATACTATAAGCTCAAAAGGTTGTGTGTGAACAAAGAGATTCAATAAAAACAATTTAACTAAACTCAATATAAATCTAGCTTATGGAAATTAGAAACAAAATAATAAATAGCTAGAATGAGTTTAGGAAAACTTCTCTATAGATCAAGAGAGAGAGAGAGAGAGAGATGAGTTGAAGCTCAAACATCAAAGGATGATCTCTTCTTCCTCTTGTGAAATTATCTTCACAAAACCGAAACTTTGAAACAATGCTTTAAATACCTTTAAACAAATTTAAACAAACTTTTAAAACTTTCTTAAACTTGTTTAAATCATTTCTTAGATTCTTGTGAAAGATGAGAGCAAGGGGTATTTATACCCATACAAAACTTCAGAAAAAACCCCAAGAAAAAGACCAAAAACCCATAAACAAACAAAACTGAAAACTAGCCGTTACTGTGCAACGGTTCTCTGATAAGTCGATTTATGAGTCAACTTAGCAGACGAAAAATCACAACTCCGCTGCACTTCGTAAGTCGACTAATGAGTCGACTAAACGTGCACAGATCTGAAATGCACAGAAAAACTCAACTTTAAACAATGATAAAAAATATCAAATAAATTTCAAAAATTATGAAACTTTGGGAGATGATTGTAGACATGATAATAAACACGTTATAAAAACTGGTTTTCAAAAAGGACCTCCCAAATGAGAAATATTATTATTTTACAAAATAGTCCAAAACATGAAAAAGTGAACACATGAGTTTTGACATTTTAGCTTGACCATGTTTTGAAACATTACAAAATAATTTTGTAGACTTAATAAAAGATGTATATGATTATTGTTAAGTTCATAAACCAAGAAAACAATATTTTTTCAAAATTACATATACTATGCAATATTCTTAAACAAAATAGAGTATGAAACATATGATCATATATATGAATGTAAATTTGTTTCATGTCTATATATATATATATATATATATATATATATATATATATATATATATATATATATATAGATATATAGATATATGAAAACCAAAACTTGTGTTGTATATATATATAACCATATATATACAAGGAAACCAATATAATGTGTGTGTATATATGATTGAGCTTAAAGTACCAACACACATATTATAAACATAAACTAATATTACCAAGCTTGATCTTGATCTTCAATAAGCTTGACTTGGTACACACTGCGGATGAAGTTAGAATTTGGATCTTCAACTTAAATTGCATAGGCTTCAACCACTATTCTGTCAACCTCTATTGAATATGATCGTTGAGGCTCTATTCCATCCATCCTCCAACTTATTGTTTGTCTATAATAAATAACAAAACACAAACACTAGGCAAATAATATTAGATGTAAATTGTTTGTTAAATCATTATCAAAACAAGAAGGCCAACAATCTCTCCCTTTTGATGATGACAAACAATTTACAAAAAAGATATATGCATGAATGAAAATGAATATATAAATTATAATTCACATGCATATAAAAAAGAAAATGTATACTCACAATATTTCTCCCCCTTTGACAACATCAAAAAGGGGAAAACAAAAGAATGGAGAGAGCGAAAGCTCCTCTACAAATAAGCATGGTGAGTATAAAACAAATATAGAGATTGCTCCTCCTATCAAAATGCCTTAATGAATATATGCAATGAGGATCAAGGCAAACATATGTGATTAAGCATAGACATGCTAAATATCACTCACATTCAAAAAGATAATGAGAACACATATGGATGTTTTATTATGGAAGATTGTCTCATTACGCAAACATAAAAACATATGAAAATAGATTTATGAAAACAAATGAATAGGAAACATGAGAATCTAAAAAAAAAAGTTTTCGAATGAAAACAAATCAACCAATTGAAATCATAAATCACAAGTAAATCATATAAAAACATATAAGGCAAGAGAGGAAAATATATCAAGCTCTTAAGCTTGTTTCAACCCATATAAGCATTTTAGCATCCGGTAAACATGATTTGGGAAATAAACACCTAATAAATCCGGGGGGTTATATGAACACAAACCTCTCATATGAAAACACAAAACAAAGTATATATATATATATCCAAAAATAATGTTTGATCAATAAAGGAAATTAAAAAAAAAATTGATCAAACCACATATAGAATACATTATAAAGCACAAGTAGATGATCCATAAGCACAAACACATAAATATCATCATAGAAGTGTTTTATAATGAATTCAAAAGTACATACGAAAACAAATTCTTCATAGTTCAAATTAAGATTACAAAACATACAAGAATCATGAACTATGGATTTGAAAATTCTTCATAGTTCAAATTAAGATTACAAAACATACAAGAATCATGAACTATGGATTTGAAAAAAAAACATCTTTAAGAACATGAAAAAAATAAAAAAACATTATTCTTAAAGATTAAACAAGTTTTGGTACCTAATTACTCTTGGTACCTAAGAGACTAAGGACATGACCCCTATCATTAAAGCTCAAAGCCCTTGGGTTATGAACCCTTTTGGACACATTTGGTGCACTAACCCGGTCATAACAATAATTGCTCAAATCACCCTATTGTAATTTGTGCAATGAAAGAGACCTATTTGTTTTTGTGGACCATATGCTCGTGCACGGGAATCATTTGTAAATAAAGATTGTCTTTTAAATTTATTTTGCAAATGAGAAACATTCTTAAACAATGATCTATTTAGAACATATTGCAAATTAGAAGCTTTTTGCATATCATAACAAAATTTAGCAAGATGTTTCAAGCCTACCACAAACATCACATTTAAAAACATGTGGTCTACTAGAAACATTTGGCAAATGAGATTTATTTTTCAAATCAAAATAATATTTGGCCAAATGATCAAAACAACCACAATAATCACATGAATACACATTAGCATGCTTATGATGAACTTTAGGTGCATGTAAATATGTGTGTGATGAAGAAGCCTTATGAGATGCACAAGTAGCATTAATATTAGACTTTGTATGTTTATGTGCATCATAGTAAAATTTAGCAATATGGCCTTTACGATCGCAAATTAAACATTTGTAAACTTTACTATACAAGTGTGCGTAGTGTGTAAATGATTTAGAGGTTGTAGCACTAGATCTAGCACACTTGTCCATAAGTCTCTTATGATTATCAATGTATGTGTTAAGAGTTGAATCTAAAGATGAAATACAGTTTTTAACAAGATTCAAATCTTTATTATTAGGCACATATGCATTTCTATTAGAAGTAAACATATATAATTATTTATAAAAGAAGCCGTATCAATTTTTATGTTCTCTACTTCTAATATGACATTATCTTTTTCAAGAGTTAAACTAGCAACATTTGAGATTAAAGAAACATGATCCAACTTTAATTTTTTATTGTTTTCTTTTAGAATCACATTCTCATTAGAAATAGTCTCAAACTTAGATGCTAACAACTCATGATCGGATTTTAAGCTAACATGCTTGCTTTATAAATCAATAAAATCTTTATGCAATTTGTTATAGGCATGCAATAAATTTTCAGAAGCACAAGCAAGTTCATCATTACATAAATCATTAATGGATTTGAACTCGCAAACCTCACTAGGGCTATCGCCTAGTGCACGTGTGCATGATGCTCCTTTTGAACTTGAAGCTGGATCCTCCAAAGCTTGTCGGATCGCCTCCAAGTCCCCTTGATGTGTTTCAATAAATTTTCATAAAGTGTAAGCACTATCAAAATGAACAAATTTGTTAGAAAATGATGAGTCAAAAGCATTGAGAAAATATTCTAACAAAAGCTTGTTCATATTAAACATTCTTTTATCATTTTTACTCCACTTGGATTTTTCGAAGTGGGTACAGTATAAGCATCTTGAATAACTTCTCATAAAACGAATTGTTTAGATCTAACAAAAATATTAAATCTAGAACACCATTAGTCATAGGGGAGATTATCTATTCTTGGAGCATCATTAGGATTATAGCCTAAACAAGGTGCACAATGTATATTTATAATTAAAAATATATGCAAGCAAGACAAATTCAATCAAAATTAGATTAGCACAACAAGATAACTTGGATCTTTAACTCAAGGCGATTAGACCTTAAATCAAAGAGCATCAAGCTCTGATACCAATTGTTAGACCCTAAGGTCGCTATGAAAGAACCCTAGAAGAGGGGTGAATAGGGTTTATGCTAATCTAATCCGATTTAAATACCAATTAAAACTTACTAATAAATATATCCTAGAAAGATATGCTACAAGATATGTGCAAGGATAT